GAGCCACATGCGGGTCTTTGGCCCCTTGAGTGTGGCTCTTCCTAAGCCTTAGGAGTACCCTAATTAAGTTAATAACAATGTACCTACCTATATAGTTTAAGTTTAAAAAATTTGGCTCTCAAAAGAAATTTCAGTCGTTGTACTGTTGATATTTGGCTCTGTTGACTAATGAGTTTGCCGACCACTGGCCTAAACGATTGCAAGAGTATCTTTGCCTTGTATTTGGATCCAGGCTCCAGTGTTCACTAGCTTTGTTACCTTGGACTACTTACCCTTTCAGAGTCTACATTCATAAACAAAATGTAAAGCACAGTGCCTGGCACATGGTGCTTAGTAAATGGTAATTGGATGATTATGATGATGATGTTAAAACCACTTGTCTGCTGTCTCATCACATTCTCTTTCGCCCTCCGCCAAGAAGGGGAGCTTGATAAAATGGAAACCTGGCTGTCCCATGCTCCAGTGGCTCCCTTTGGCCGTTGCAATGACTTCTAAGCTCCTTGGTGTGGCCCATAAGGGCCTCCATAAACTGGCCCCTGTCTCTCTCCAGACTCCTGTTACCATTCCTTGTCTTGAATTTGGTCTCCAGCCATATCACGCTGTTTATAATTCCCTACCCACACTATGCTGTTTCTGGATGCCTTCTGTGTCTGGAACACCCTTCCTCCTCCTCCTGCACCTTCCTTTGGTCAGGCTAACATTACTTACCCATGAAGATTGAGCTGACATCACCTCTTTGGAAGCCTTTCCTGGCTACCCTCTCCACCCACCGTGGGCCAGGTGCCCCTCAGTGCATTTCCTTATCAGTGCATCTACTGAATTCCTTTTATTAATGATAAATAGTAGCCTCCAATATATAGCGCTCTCTGTGAGTGTGGCAAATCCTCAGAGCCTATAATATTTAATGCTTTCTGTGAGTTAGGCATAGAAGCCCTTTACATTTAATCCTCCACTCCTTGGGAAGCCTGTACTGTCTCCATCTTACAAAGGAAGAATCCCTGGCTCATCAAAGTTAAGTAACTTGTCAGGGGTCACAGTTTAATAGATGACTGACCTGGGAATTGAACCCGGGCAGCCTCGCTCCAGGGTCCACACCCTTAATCATTACACTGTTTACTTCTATAGACTCTCTATTTCAGTACTTCTGTAAACACTCCTCGGTAGCCTGGAAGTATTTTAGAGGTATGCACTATGCTTTATCTTTATGTCGCCAGAGCTTGGCACAAATTTGACAAGAGTAGGCAGTCAGTAAATGTTTAATTAGTTAAAGTAAGGCCTAGTTGCATATTTTTCTATGAGAAGGGTTTGTAAGCACCTGTGAAAGGTGAACCTGTGTTTGTGCACACAGTGAGGAATGCGGATATGTCAGTTCTTCTGAGAGGTCAGGGATGTGTTTCTACTCAGTTGTGAGAGATGAGCTGAGGCCTTTTATACCTGCTGGCAGGACAAGATGTGTGTGCCAACCAGAGAGGTTTCCAAAGGAAGTGTAATGGCACCCCTATGAGGAGAGGAACCAGCACCCAGGGAAAATGTGAGGAGGGGTGTACTGACGCTGCCCCACCCCCTCTTTCCCTCTCTGGCCAGATGCCTCCAGAACTATATCCCTGCCCAGAGCCTGACGCTGTCCTGTCCAGTATGTCGGCAGACGTCCATCCTCCCTGAGCAGGGCGTCTCTGCACTGCAGAACAATTTCTTCATCAGCAGCCTCATGGAGGCCATGCAGCAGGCACCTGATGGGGCCCACGACCCAGAGGACCCCCATCCCCTCAGTGCAGTGGCTGGCCGCCCCCTCTCCTGCCCCAACCATGAAGGCAAGGTGGGCCCAAGCAGGCCCAGTGAGGCCAGGACTTGGGGTGGAGGAGAGGGAGAGGTTGGGGGAGGGGGCCGAGTGGCTGTGGGTGAGAGGTGTTTCTGGGAATAAGTGGCCCAGGTAGGGGGCACACCTGGAAGGTGAGGGGCCAGGAGGGCAGGTTGGGGAGGGGAGGGGAGGGGCATAGAAGTTTGGTGTCATTGCCTAACTGGAGTCTTTATGCTGCCAGACGATGGAGTTTTACTGTGAGGCCTGTGAGACGGCCATGTGCGGAGAGTGCCGCGCAGGGGAGCACCGGGAGCACGGCACGGTGCTGCTGCGGGACGTGGTGGAGCAGCACAAGGCTGCCCTGCAGCGCCAGCTGGAGGCAGTGCGCGGCCGGTAGGCCTGGTGGGAACCTGGGCTGGTGGGGCCATCAGAGATGGTGTTTCAACGGGGGCAGAGGAGGGACCCAGGGCAGGGTACAGATAAAACTCTGTGAGAGAGCAGGGAGGCCTCAGGTAGGTGATCTCCTGGACAGCAGCAGTAGGGAGAAGGGATGGTTTGGTAAGGACGCCGCCTCAAGCCACTCCGGTATGAGTTGTTTCCCTCCCCAGGCTGCCACAGCTGTCCGCAGCGATCGCCTTAGTGGGGGGCATCAGCCAGCAGCTGCAGGAGCGCAAGGCAGAGGCCCTGGCCCAGATCAGCGCAGCCTTCGAGGACTTGGAGCAAGCGCTGCAGCAGCGCAAGCAGGCGCTGGTCAACGACCTGGAGGCCATTTGTGGGGCGAAGCAGAAGGTGCATTTGTTCACCCTTCCCTGCCTTATTGCCCCCATGTATCCCTGCTTCCCACACTTGCACACCCCTTTCCCTAGTCAACACTTTCTGCCTCCTGACATGGCCCCACAGGTGCTGTGGGCATCTGTGTGCCTTGCCCACACTCCCTCGCTTGTATTCCTTTCATGCCATAGTACTGCAAGTTCACCAGAAATCACAGAGACCCACCTCTGCGCCAGTGTTCTCACCCCCGCCCCACCCCCTCAGGTGCTGCAGACCCAGCTAGACACACTGCGCCAGGGTCAGGAACACATTGGCAGCAGCTGCAGCTTCGCAGAGCAGGCCCTGCGTCTGGGCTCAGCCCCGGAGGTGTTGCTGGTCCGCAAGCACATGCGCGAGCGCCTGGCGGCCTTGGCGGCGCAGGCCTTCCCAGAGTGGCCACACGAGAACGCGCAGCTAGAACTGGTCCTGGAGGTCGACGGGCTGCGGCGATCGGTGCTCAATCTGGGTGCACTGCTCACAACGAGTGCCACTGCACACGAGACGGTGGCCACGGGCGAAGGCCTGCGCCAGGCGCTGGTGGGCCAGACCGCCTCCTTCACGGTCACTACCAAAGACAAAGATGGGCGGCTGGTGTTGGACCACAAGAACGGCACGTATGAGCTGGTCTACACGGCGCGCTCCGAGGGCGAGCTGCTCCTCTCCGTGCTGCTCTATGGCCAGCCGGTGCGCGGTAGCCCCTTCCGCGTGCGAGCCCTGCGACCTGGGGACCTACCACCTTCCTCGGACGACGTCAAGCGCCGCGTTAAGTCCCCTGGCGGCCCGGGCAGCCATGTGCGCCAGAAGGCGGTGCGGAGGCCCAACTCCATGTACAGCACCAGCGGCAAACGGAAGGACAACCCCATTGAGGATGAGCTCGTGTTCCGTGTCGGTACAGACGGCCGGGGGCGGAGCCAGGCAGGGGCGGGCTCAGGCAGGAGGCGGGGCGAAGAGGGCAGGGATTTTCAAAATGACCTGCGAGTGAATTCTTTTGTTTTTCCCCCATCCCCTTCCCACAGGCAGTCGTGGAAGGGAGAAAGGCGAATTTACCAATCTACAGGGTGTGTCCGCAGCTAGCAGTGGCCGCATAGTGGTAGCAGACAGCAACAATCAATGTATCCAGGTGAGCGCTTGTCCAGCTCCCACACCACCAAAATACAGGTCCTCCAGCTACAGCCTCCTGAAAACAAACAAACAATAAACTGTATATAATATAGGTCTCCTCCTGAAAGTTGTACAATAATCGAAGACTTACTTTAAAAATAAAACCCTTTTTATTTTTCCAGCCCTACACATAGTATCATTTCTTAAAGAGCAATAAGTCATAGCACCGCCCTTCACCCACCCACTTGTAACCTCACCCCTACTAGCCACAAGGGTAACGATGTTCACAGGTAGGCCCCAGGGTTCACTGTGCTGGCAGTTTATAACTCCCAGGCCATAGCACAGTCCAGACCAGCTCCTGGACCTCAAAGGTCAGGCTCATTCTCCCTTCCCCTCTGTCTCCTCTTGAGCCTCCACCTGGCGGCTAACTTTCTCCCCTTTTCACCAGCATGTGGTCAGGATGCTGGCTCTGCCCTTCCCTGCTATGTCCCAACATACCTTCCTGGCTCCAGAATGTATCTTGTCTGCACCAGTCTCTGCAAACATCCGGTGGACTAGACAGTCAAATGGGGTTAACTTGTGAAAAGAGGTGTCTTCAGTGGCTAGACTACACTGCACGCTCACAGGTGGTCCTGCCCCTGGCCCTCCCAGCCCCTCACACACCTGATTAAGGCATCCGCCACACAAATAGACAAGGCCTCTGCTGCACTTCAGGCTCTTTAAAGCCAGAAAATGTGGTTTTCTCTTTTTATTCCTTGTAGTAAACCCAGCGCCCAGTGTGGTAGACACAGCGGAGCAGTTAAAAGCCTGGGCTCTGAAACCAGACACCTGGGCTTGAATCCTAGCTCTGCCACTTACTGACAAGTCATGTGACCTCTCTCAGCTTCAGTTAACTCATGTGTAAAATTAGGAAAAGAATACCTCAGAGGGTCGCTGGAAGCATTAAATGGCATAATGTACTCTGCCTGACACCTAGTGAACCTTCTAATGTTAGTTAAAAATATCACTGTCCAGGTGGCGGCTGTCAACAAAAGCCAGGAGGTGGGGAGTGCTGGAGGGGGTTGTACAGGGAACTGGAAGGATTCCCGAAGGAGCTGGAGGTAGATTACGATTAGGAGCCAAGTAGCTGAGGTCACATTGAGTTTATGCTGTGTGGGATTGTTTGTGACTACCCTGAGCTTCAGTTCATGGAAACACTTTATCAGGGAGCAAAACTGTTCCCTGAAGATCCTTACTTCACAACACGTATAAATTTACGCTTCTTCCTGACCCAGCCTGAGTACCCCGTCATAGATCCAGCTCTGCCAAAAGCCTGTCGCTTCAATGTCAGATCCCACCTGGCTCCTGCGTGCCACCTACCAGGCTGCAAATGCCACCAGCTCTTCCATGACCATATTCCCAGTCCTGTATTTCCAGCCAGCCTTTATTCCCACCCTATTCATAGGAGCGGAGGAGTGGAGAGGCCCAGTTCAGCACAGGGAGGTATTTGGACGCAGCCTGGATAGTGAAGAGGAGATGGGAATGGGGGTGGTGCTGAGGCCCTACTCAGTCACTTCCTCTACCTCTAACTCTTTTCCTGCTCCTTATGCCAGGGATGCTTTCTGGCACAAATGCTGAGATTTGGGAAACCTTCCCTACTGTGCTTGCACACGAGCTCTCACATGCCGAGTGACATGTGCCACTTTGTCTCTTTGATGAGGAGCTGTGCTTGTCCACTGTTTCAGGGTGGGGGGAATTGAGAGGTAGGGCCTGATGTAGCCCCCCTCCCTTCCAAACACTTAATAGTCCTATAGCAGTCTCCCTTGCTCCCACTCCCACCTGCACTCCATCTACTCAGTTGCTAGGAACCTGACTTGGATTCCAAAGTGGAGTTTCTGCTTCTCTTACTCTGGGGGCCTCAGGCCTGGTAGGGGCTGGTCTCCCAGATGGACTGTGACCTGCACCCCTCAGTTCATGAGAATTGGGCTCTGCGTGAACTTTTCCTCCTTTGGACCCATTTATGGTGGAGGCTGAGTGAAGAATTCAATTTGCATATTTGGTTTGACAATTTGAGTAACTGTCTTAGTCCAGAAATTTTATCAGCTCATTTCCTTCAGGCAGAATATTAATCACATTCTCCTCTGAGCTCCGCGACCTTTTGCTATAAACACTTTCAGACTTTACCAGAATCACCGGCTTGTTTAATTTTGTTTCAGTCTCTCTTCCCTACTAGGCTCAGGTCCTGAAGTTACTTAGTGCTACTGTGATATAGCAGAGAGATGTTAAAGACCAAACTAGGGCACCAGCAGATTCCAGAGATGTTAAGGAAGCAAATACGGCAGGTTTTGATGAGCCATCAGATGTCAAGGGAGAGGGAGGGCTCAGGAATGGCAGGACTTAGTGCACTGGGTTGGTGGTGTTGCAATTCAGGAGCAGGTCTAGATATAAGTTGATGAATTCCCTTTTGCACGTGTTGAGTTTGAGTGTGTCATTCAAGTGGAGATGTCTAGCTGTGATCTGAGATTGAGCTGAGGAATTCATTCATTTGTTGAATGTCTGTTATGTGCCAGTTGCTTTACCTACAAATGCAGCAGCAAAGAACAGACACAGTTCCTGTCCCACCTGCAACTTTCTTAGAAGGGGACAAAGGTATTTAGTTACGGAAGTGATGGTTGTTATGACAAGAACTATAAAGCATATATCACAGAGACCTAACTGTATGTGTATACACTGATTCAGGGGATGGAGTTGGTCATTAAAGGCTTCTCTCAAGAAGTGACCTGGAAATTCTGAGAATTGAAAGATGAATAAGAGTTGGCCAGATATAAGGGGTGGGATAGGATAGGACAGGATGAGTAAGACATCCCCCACACCCCACAAGCCACTGAGTTTTGAGCTGGAAACCGAGCTACTCAGACTGGAGAAGGTACATGCATAATCTCACTGCTGATCTGGGGGAACCTTTTAGTCTCTCTCACATCAACTCTCCAATCTGTGGTCCTTCCCTTCGCATGCTAGCAAGGGCTGTCCCACCGCAGGGGACTAGAGCAGAAGGGGTGAGGGCATAGTAGAAGGTCTACATCAGGAGGGAGTGATGTCTCTTGGTGGGACCAGTTCAAACAGCTCTGCAGCCCTGAGAGATGGGGATGGGGATGGGGACGGGGACAGGGCTCTACCCCCCGCCTGCCACACATTGCTGGTCATACAACAGAGTCCCACCAGCCCCGAGGCCTCTGCTGCAAGTGCCAATGCCCATGTGCCAACTTCAGTGAACAAAGCTCCAGATTGAAATAATAACACCACCACCACCAACAACAACATGGGTCAGTGTAGAAGGAGGGAACAGGTCTGGATAAACTAAGGCCAAGGCCCAGAACTTGAGTTAGCCAAGGCTGCTCCTGGCTCTGATTCCTCTTATGTCCCCAGAGCCTGTAACAAAGCAGTGTGTGGGACTTCTGCAGTAAGTGGTGAGTAATGTCTTGGCTGCAAAGGAGAAGCAGGAAGGCTTAGCTGTAGAGGAAAGGAGCATTAAAGGAGGTGCTTTTAGGATGGAGAACCCTGAGTATGTTGGCTGGCTAAGGTCAAGAAGATAGAAGAGTGAGAAAGGTTGAAAGGTTCACTCTGTCCAGGAGGAAGGTTGCCTGGTCAGCCCCATATCCTGGAAGGGCTAATCCTGGTCCATTTCCCTCACCTCCCTCCCTTCCTTGTCTACTGCCAAGTTTGTTGAATCTACCTACTATATGTCTCTTGAGTCCATCTGCTGCCCTCTAGCAGTGCCCTGGTCCAAGTCGTCATCATTTCACACCTGGACCACTGCAGCAGCCTCTGACTGCGTGGCCAACATCCAGTCTTGACTCCTCCCTGCAACCAGAGTGCTCTTTCTTACAAACTCCAGGGTGTTTTTTGCAAACACTACCAAACAGTTCTCTAATTCCAGTGGACATTGACCATGTTTTCTTTGAATTTAACTCAATTCTGACACTATGTACCAGCAGATAGTAGCACATCCCAGAGGTTAAGGGCTCAGTCCCATAAGACTGCACCTACCCAGACACCAGTTGCAAGTCAGGTTGTCACCTGTGCATTGACCGACCTGCTATAAATTGGAAGTTTCCACAACCCCCTCTTTGGGTTCGATTAATTAGATAGAGAGGCTCACAGAACTCAGAGAAACATTTGCTTAGGTTTACCAGTTTACTGTAAAGGGTCTGATCAAGGACACAGATGAGCAGCTAGATGAAGAGGTACAGAGGGCGAGGTCCAGAAGAGTCCCTAGTGCAGGAACTTCTGTCTCTGTGGAACGGGGGTGCCCCATTCTCTCAGTACCAACCCAGAAGCTCATCAAATTTTGTTGTTCAGGAGTTTTCATATAACTTAATTTGTGTGCACACACACGCACAACCCTTCCCAGAGGTTGGATAGGGCTGTAAATTCCAATCCTTTACTCATTTGGTCTTTCTAATGACCAGCTTCATCCTGAGGCTATCTGGGGTCCCCACCCTAAGTCACTGCAGTTGCCTAAGCTCAAAAGGGGCCCCTTATGAATGACAAAAGACAATCCTATCGCTCAGGAAATTCCCAGGCTTCGAGGAGCTCTGTGACAGGCACTGGGGACAAAGACCACATAGATGTCTTATTATACCACAAAAGCAAATCTCATCTTGTCACTCCCTGCCCACATATTTTCAGTGAATCCCCATTACATCCAGGATAAAACCTGACCCGTGTTGTACATGGATAGGCAGGGCCCATGCTGGACTCTGTGCCGTTTATACACTGTCCACTCTGCTTAAATGCCTTCCCTCCTGCTGCTTTACTGGCCAACTTCGGTTCATCTGTCAGCATCCTTTTAGACTTAGCTCAGATTTCCTCTTCTAGAACCCTTCCTGATCACTCTCCCTCAACCCTTTCATATTCCTACAGTCCCATTCCCACCTCTGCTGCATGTCCGCTAGGTCTGCGGCCATGTCTGGTTCTTCTCTGTGCCCTGACATGGTGTCATTAGTCCTTGCTGAATGACTGAATGAATGGGGGTCTCCTCCCTCAGGATCCTGCTCCCTTCCCTTTGTGCCCACAGTCTCTCCCCTCCTTCCCCTCCCTCCCTCGATCCTGTGCTCCAGGTTTTCTCCAATGAAGGCCAGTTCAAGTTCCGCTTTGGGGTCCGAGGGCGCTCGCCTGGACAGCTGCAACGACCCACAGGTGTGGCAGTGGACACCAATGGAGACATTATCGTTGCAGACTATGACAACCGTTGGGTCAGCATCTTCTCCCCTGAGGGCAAGTTCAAGGTGAGAAATTTACTGTCACTACACTTTGCACCCCCGGTGATCAGCTGAAGTGACCATTCTAGTGTCCCCTGGTGGTTGGGCCTGGATTGGTCCATCCCCAGCCCAAGATTCTGCTTTGGTGCCAGGCTGGGACTGTTCTCCCCACCAGGCAGGATAAAGACCCTAATGCTCATCTCCTTCCAGACCAAGATTGGAGCTGGCCGCCTCATGGGCCCCAAGGGGGTGGCTGTAGACCGTAACGGACATATCATTGTGGTCGACAACAAGTCTTGCTGTGTCTTCACCTTCCAACCCAATGGAAAGCTGGTTGGCCGTTTTGGGGGCCGTGGAGCCACTGACCGTCACTTCGCAGGTATGAGGAGATAAGACAGACATCTATTCCGATTCCCCAGTCCCAGGGAACCCCGGGGGACCCCAACTCTAAAGACCCCTCCTCCTGTGTCTTGGCTCTAGAGAACCCCATCCCTTCACTGGGCCTTAGCACCATCATCCCAGAGACCCCACCCCTCTCTGAACACCCCAGCTTTATCACCACAGGTATTCTTCCCCACCCCAGTATCCCAGCTACTGCCCTAGAGACCACTTTATATTTTCAGGGCCCCATTTTGTGGCTGTAAACAACAAGAATGAGATTGTAGTGACGGATTTCCATAACCATTCAGTAAAGGTCAGTGTCTTCCCTTGCCTCCCCCTTCCCCCCGATCATTCATTGGCACTGTAAACATTTATGGCGTGGCTACTTTGACCCAGGCACTATGTCAGAAGTGATGGGGATACAGTCATGACTCAAGCAAATACTTTCCCTGTCTTCTTAGTTATAGTCTAGTAGAGAAGAGTTAACTGGCATGTTACAATTTGATGTGATACGTTCAGTGATTAGGAAGTGTAGGGAAATGTGAGGGCATAGCAGGAGCATTTGGCTCAGGTGAGAGAGAATTACCTAAAGCACCGGTGGGAATTAACCAGAAGGAAGAGAAGGAGAAGAGGATTTGAGGCAAAGGGGACCAGAGGAGCCGAGAACTGGAGGTGGGAACCCTATGGTGTGTTCAAGAAACTACAAGTAGTTCAGACTGGGTTTGCAGAGATGAGTCTTGTGTGGCCTTTAAGGAGCTTGATCTCTTCCTAAGAGTTCTGGGGAGTCACGGAAGGCTGGCAGACAGGTGGGGTGATACAATCCCGTGTGTCTTAGATCACTCTGGCTGGGGCAAGACTAGAGGCAGGACGATCTATCTTTGCAATAGTCCAGATAAGGACCACTGCAGTGGCAATATATGTATATAGGATACAGACTTGGGGTAGAATCAATGATTGTGTCAATCCACTGGCTGTTGAGCAGAGGAGACGATGCAGTCGACCATGACTCATGGCCAAATGGGTGTTGCCAGTCACTGAAAGAGAAGTCAGAACTGCTTGCCTGGGGAAATGGACTCTTAGATTTGATATGTCTGAGGGACATCAGCTGGAGATGTCCGGTAGCAGTGGGGTGCATGGATGGGAAGCCTGGAAAGAACTGAGCTGTAGCTGCAGACCTGAGGGTCCTCAGCCCTGGGGCTCCCCCTCACCTCCTCCAAGGCCCTGCCCTCTGTCTGAGGCCAGGTCCCCAGTCCCCAGCCTTTGCCCTGCCAGGTATACAGTGCCGACGGAGAGTTCCTCTTCAAGTTCGGCTCCCATGGTGAGGGCAACGGGCAGTTCAACGCTCCTACGGGAGTAGCTGTGGACTCCAATGGGAACATCATCGTGGCTGACTGGGGCAACAGCCGCATCCAGGTGAGTAAGGCCCAGGGATGGCATGAAGGTGTGGTGTCCTGCTGTTCCCCATGCACACATCCCCTCCCTCCAGTATGCATCTCACCAGCCTGATCTCAGCTCTCCCTCATTCTCCACCCATCCCCCAGGTATTCGACAGCTCTGGCTCCTTCCTGTCCTACATCAACACGGCTGCAGAGCCACTGTACGGCCCACAGGGCCTGGCCTTGACCTCGGACGGCCACGTGGTGGTGGCCGATGCCGGCAACCACTGCTTCAAGGCCTATCGCTACCTCCAGTAGCTGCACAGGAGCCCTGCCTGGCTCATGGAGGGACGGACATAGGGGTGATTGGACAGGAGTGTCTGGCCCGCAGCTGGGCCAGACCTGGCAGCACTGAATGTGGGCTGTGGGCGTGGGTGCGCCCGGTGCCCTCCCTCTCCCCGTCTCCCACCCCCACGGTTGCACTTTATTTATTCGGTTCTTGCTTTGGTGACTGGATGGGCCTGGACTGTGGTTCCAAGGACGTGTGCAGAGCTTCACCCTCCCCCCTTCACACACCTCCCCCGTCCCCTCAGTCTGCTCCCAACCCCAGCCTGGGGCCAGAACAGCCTCTTACTCCAGGGCAGAAGTCCCTCTGGTTGTCTCCCTACCACCCATACACACTGACAGAGACAGCAATACCCCACCCCCATATTAAATAAATGTGTTCGCCACGTGCTTTTGTTGCTTTCTTGTGGAGTGGGGCTGTGAGGGGATGGGATGGTGGGACTGGCTCTGGACTAAAAAGTAGGCAAGCAGGCAGGCATGGCACCCAGATTCCTAAATGGGTTCTGATGTTTTGAAGCTTCAGGAGGGGAGAGCAAGGGAGGGTGAACCCCTGGATCCTGAGCCACTTGCCAAATCCCCACCTCAGGCCCTGCATCTTCTGCAGAAATAGTAAGTCCTGTGTCTCCCTGCCCTGGTGCTGAGAGGAGCCTGGGAAAATGGTCCTTGCCCTGAACACAGCCAGCGCCTGCAGGAAGAACAGTCGGGTACGACAGCAATCCTGATGCCCAGGCCTGGGTTGGAGACCTGGGGCTGGCCCAGGTGGAAGCTGGGTGTGGGAGGCTCCATGGCCAATTTTAGAGTTTGGTCCGGAAGCCCCGAAGCCCTGTTCCATCCTCCTGCTCTCCATCCCAAGATTGCTGCTTTTCCCCACATTGGAACGAGGGTTCTAGCACCGACTCTTGAGCTCTAGTCTGCCAGGGTTTGGCTGCCAGTTCCAGAGCTAATTACAACCAGCACTCTGATTTGGGAGGTGGGGACTATGATTCTCTCTCTACAAAAGGCTGAGGCTCGGAGAAATAGGGCATATTGCTGTTGAAGAGCAGAGCCCAGACCTGAACCTGTAGCTGTTGTGCTCCTAACTGTAAGTTGCAGCACTTACTCATTCTTCTGGCCCCTGCACCCAGCCTGGTGACTGGCAGAGAAGGCCCTCTGGAGCTTATAATTTACTGGCGAAGGCAGGCAACCAAGTAAACATATGGAACTAAATGTGCAATGACAGTTGTGTTAAAGCTGAGAAGGAATAGGATGCAATAAATAATGTAAAGAATATGGTGTTAAGGAGGGTGGGCAAGGAGGGCCTCCTGGAGCAGTGACCTGCAGGTTGGGAGAGACAGGGCGGGGAGGGAGCCAGCTGTGATAAGAGCTAGAGCTCCCTTTCCAATGGCGGAGTCTGGAGAAGATGCTCAGAAATGGCACCTCACAGGGGGAAGGAAAGGAGGAAGAACAGGTCTTAGGTGGCTGAAGGAGAATGTATTTGGTGTCTGCTACATCTTTACGTACTTCCATGACACTTTTGTCCATGTCACCGATCTTTCTGGCAAGGAAACCATCTGCCATGTGACTGGTGGGACGAAGGTAAAGGCTGACCGAAATGAGTCCTCTCGATATGCCACCCTGTTGGTTACCCAGGGTGTGGCCCAGAGGTGCAAGGAGCTGGGCATCACTGCCCTCCACATCGAACTCCAAGCCACAGGAGGAAATAGGACCAGGATCCCCTGGACCAGGGGCCCAATCAGCTCTCAGAGCCCTTGCCCACTAGGGACGAAGATGGCAGATTGAAGATGTCACTCATCCCTCCAATGGCACCCACAGGAAGGCAGGTCACCTAGGTCACTGAACAGGACTGTTCAACTTATTGGTTTCTGTTAATAAATTGCCTTTGTATGAGCTAAAAACAAAAAAGAGAGATTTCCAGACAAAGGAAGAACAGGTACGAAGGTCCCGAGGGATCAAGATCTGGGTGTTGAAAGACCCGAAAGGAGGCCAGGGTGATTGGAGAGGAAAGAGAGTGGAATAAGAAAAGCAACCCGTTTGGAGTCAGGCCTGAGTTGGATCATTTAACTCAGGTAGAGTTTGGATTGATTTGGAGTATAACAGGAAACCATGGAAAAGTTTAAGTGATAAGGATGAAAGGATGCCTAATGGGATAAACTGGCAGCTAGACAGTGACTCTGTGGGGTGGGGAAAAAAGGATGAAAAGAAGAAAATTGAACATCTCTAAACTCCTTTTGAAGACCATGGATAACTTAAAACCACCTATGGAATTCCAGTTCTAGGAATATTTTCCAAGAAAAGAATTGGTCAAAGGCACAAAAAAGTGCATGCACCCATGTTTATTACAGCTTTCCTTAAAATAGAAAAATACCCCCCCCCCAACCTAAATGTCCATCTGCAAGAAATGGTTATACTAGTATAAAGTTTTGCTTAAACATATAATGGAATTGTATGTACCCTTTAAAAATGCTGATATCTGACATACACTATTAAGACAATGAAGTTTTATAAAATCATATCTTCATTTTATTTATTTAATATATTTTATTGATTTTTTACAGAGAGGAAGGGAGAGGGATAGAGAGTTAGAAACATCGATGAGAGAGAAACATCTATTAGCTGCCTCCTGCTCACCCCCTACTGGGGATGTGCCCACAACCAAGGTACATGCCCTTGGCCGGAATCGAACCTGGGACCCTGCAGTCCGCAGGCTGACGCTCTATCTACTGAGCCAAACTGGTTAGGCCTCATATCTTCATTTTGAAAAGGATGTTGTAAGAATAGAAAAAGGCTGGGATAGATAAAATGTGAATAATGGTATCCTCTGGTTAGTAGAATTTAAAATGACTTTTATCTTCAAGAAAGAAGTCTTTTAAGTAGGAGTATAAGGTGGTTTCAGATATGCTTTTGAAGATGACCATGGTTGCTACAAAGAATGAATTGTAGAGGGGAAGGCGAAGCAGAGAGACAGGGCTATTTCCGTGGTTAGACGAGAAATGATGGTGTTTGCACTATGAGGGAGGCAGAGAGAGGTGGACAGATTTTAGGTCTAATTAGGAAGTAGGAACAACAAGATTCAATGTCGAACACATACAGTGTTTCAGGCATTGTGCTAGGTACTAAGAATATAGACGTGAATAAATCAGATAAAATCCTGTCCTGTTCATTAAGGCAGTGTGGTGGACAGTGGGGTGCTGAAGCTGGTTTGTACTGGCTTACACTAGCTCGTCACATTTTCAGGAATTTTGACAGCTGGTTGTTGAAAACCAGCCATTATTAAAAATTGAGTTATGTAAACTTAAAATTAAATACATTTTGTTAAAGTCAAAGATAATAGCCCTGGCTCTCGTGGCCCAATGGTTAGTGTGTCAGTCTGCACACCAAAGGGTCGTGGGTTCGATTCCTGGTGAAGGGCACATACCTGGGTTGCAGGTTCATCCCTGGCCCCAGACAGGACACATGCAGAAGGCAACCAATCAATGTGTCTCTCTCACATTGATGTTTCTCTCTCCCCCCCTCTCCCTCCCGCCCTTCCTCCCTCCCTTCCACTCTCTCTAAAAATCAATGGGAAAATATCCTCAGGTGGGGATTAACAACAACAACAACAAAAGTAAAAGATAATAAATACTCAAAACTCATCACTTCCTAATTATTTTGCTGTACTTTACTCTGACCTGTGCTCTTGAGCTTGTTTACATCTGTTGGGTCTGCCTGGTGGAAATACTATATCGGAAGTAGCATGTTACTGTGCTACTTTTTCTTTCAACTGCACATTTGGATGCCTTGTTGGTAGCCTGAAGATGGCTGTGATATTTACATCACAGAAATTAACAAATGCTACAAACCGGCCTTTTATCCTTCTGGAGAGCTGGCCCTGAAACATGTACCAGCACACACCTTGACAGGGCGGAGCGCACTCCCAGGAGTCAGGCAGCAGAGCTTCATCGTGGCTCTACCACTTGATAACAGTGGGACTTGGCTAACATGCCTAATGGCAGTGTCTGTCCTCATTTGTAAAATGGGACTAATATTATCGTGTGTGTATATATATGTGTGTGTGATTTAATGAGATAAATCCTGTTAAGTGCTTAGCACAGTGCCAGGCACATACATGTGCCCATAGATATGAGCAAATCCTATATAATAAAAGTTTAATATGCAAATTGGCCGACTAGCCGAACGACTGGTTGCTATGACATGCACTGACCACCAAGGGGCAGACGCTCAATGCAGGAGCTGCCCCCAGCCTTCAGGCCCCGATAGCCTGCCAGCCAACCTCTTGGTCCCTTCCCCCAGCCGGCAGGCTCTGATCGCCCAATGGGGAACAGGGAACATCAGGTGGCAGATGTGGGCGGTGCCAGGCCAAGGCCCCTGCCCTGCTGGTTGTCCCACACACAGAGGGTGACCAGCGGCAGAGGGTGGGGCTGGTGAGCGGGCAGAATGGCCAAACTCTTGTTCTCTCCCCACCAGCCTGCAGGCTCCTATTGCCTGATGGCAAACGGGGATCTAGGGGTGGGTGGCATTGGGGGGTGGGGCCGGCTGCTGGCAGCTGGGGAAGATGGCCCTCATTATAGGCCAAGCCTAGGGACCCTACCCATGTACGAATTTCGTGCGCTGGGCCTCTCTCTCTATATAAAAGGCTAATATGCTAAGTGTCCGACCATCCGACTGGTCGCTATGATGCACACTGACCACCAGGGGGCAGACGCTCAATGCAGGAGCTTCTGAGCTGCAGTGACTTGGCAGAGGTGGTTCTCAGGTGACACATCCCAAAACCAGAGAGGAGGGAGCTAGATTCATCATGGGGCCAAGTGATTCCACCTTGGGCCGTGGGTTATGTTGTTGCTGGGGCACTGTTGGCCCTGAATCTGGTTTACTGCACACTTGCATTTGCGTTCCACACCCTGTATGACAGCAACTTTGCAGAGTGCCTTCTCGCACTCCAGGACGCCTTGGGATGTCGGAGAGTGGGTTTCGGCCTGATCCCTGCAGGCCAGGCTGAGGGACCTCACCTGTTGGAGGGACCCCGCTCACTCCACAGACGCCAGGGAGGGACTGAGGGAGGTTGGCTCCAGGGCATGTCCAGCCCGTGTCACCCAGTCCCGCCCCACTGGCCACCTTCTAATGAATTTCCTTTCAATGTGCACGAATCCGTGCACCAGGTTACTAGTTATTATTATAATGATTTACTCATAGAGAAGCAAGAATGGATGATGTAGGAAAGCCCATTATAGACAGAGCTAGTAAAACTGCACATGTTGGAGGACTCATTTGGGAGCAGTGGGCTCTTTTTGGTGCCTGGAACTTTACCCCTAAGCTCTCTCAGTTTGGGGAAAGGACAGGTCCAGTCTCTGCTTCCTGGAGCACACAGCCGGCGCAGCAGGCCCAGCACACCAG